TTTCCAATATAATCGGAAAAGCCACAATGAAAATAGCGCTTTTTATAACCATAATTTGAATTTTCTCGTAAACGGTAGGACTTACAAAAAATTTTATAATTATGTAATTTGTAGAGAATATCGTTTTCCATCGAATAGCAATTTACGAATTTTCCTACAACTAATTCTTGGAGATATTACAAAATGAAAAATTTGGTGAAAATTAATTTGTATGGAAAAAATTGATTATTTCGAAAACTATTAGGTTTTGAAAAAATTTTATAATTATGTAATTTGTAGAGAATATCGTTCTCCATCGAATAGCAATTTACGAATTTTCCTACGACAACTAATTCTTGGAGATATTACAAAATGAAAAATTTGGTGAAAATTAATTTGTATGGAAAAAATTGATTATTTCGAAAACTGTTAGGTTTTGAAAAAATTTACAAGAGGGCAAAATTGTTGAAAATACTTTTCACCATCGAACGATAGATTTTCCAATATAATCGGAAAAGCCACAATGAAAATAGCGCTTTTTATAACCATAATTTGAATTTTCTCGTAAACGGTAGGACTTACAAAAAATTTTATAATTATGTAATTTGTAGAGAATATCGTTTTCCATCGAATAGCAATTTACGAATTTTCCTACAACTAATTCTTGGAGATATTACAAAATGAAAAATTTGGTGAAAATTAATTTGTGTGGAAAAAATTGATTATTTCGAAAACTATTAGGTTTTGAAAAAATTTTATAATTATGTAATTTGTAGAGAATATCGTTCTCCATCGAATAGCAATTTACGAATTTTCCTACGACAACTAATTCTTGGAGATATTACAAAATGAAAAATTTGGTGTAAATTAATTTGTATGGAAAAAATTGATTATTTCGAAAACTATTAGGTTTTGAAAAAATTGACAAGAGAGCAAAATTGTTCAAAATACTTTTCACCATTGAACCATAGATTTTCCAATACAATCAGAAAAGCCACAAGGAAAATAGCACCTTTTATAATCTTTATTTTGAATTTTCTCGTAAACGGTAGAACTTACAAAAAATTTTATAATTATGTAATTTGTAGAGAATATCGTTTTCCATCGAATAGCAATTTACGAATTTTCCTACAACTAATTCTTGGAGATATTACAAAATGAAAAATTTGGTAAAAATTAATTTGTGTGGAAAAAATTGATTATTTCGAAAACTATTAGGTTTTGAAAAAATTTACAAGAAAGCAAAATTGTTCAAAATACTTTTCACCATCGAACGATAGATTATCCAATGCAAATCGGAAAAGCCACAAGGAAAATAGCACTTTTTATAACCTTAATTTTTAATTTTCTCGTAAACGGTAGGACTTACGAAAAATTTTATAATTATGCAATTTGTAGAGAATATCGTTCTCCATCGAATAGCAATTTACGAATTTTCCTACGACAACTAATTCTTGGCGATATTACAAAATGAAAAATTTGATGAAAATTAATTTGTATGGAAAAAATTGATTATTTCGAAAACTATTAGGTTTTGAAAAAATTTTATAATTATGTAATTTGTAGAGAATATCGTTCTCCATCGAATAGCAATTTACGAATTTTCCTACGACAACTAATTCTTGGCGATATTACAAAATGAAAAATTTGGCGAAAAAATATTTGTATGGAAAAAATTGATTATTTCGAAAACTATTAGGTTTTGAAAAAATTTTATAATTATGTAATTTGTAGAGAATATCGTTCTCCATCGAATAGCAATTTACGAATTTTATTACGACAACTAATTCTTGGCGATATTACAAAATGAAAAATTTGATGAAAATTAATTTGTACGGAAAAAATTGATTATTTCGAAAACTATTAGGTTTTGAAAAAATTTTATAATTATGTAATTTGTAGAGAATATCGTTCTCCATCGAATAGCAATTTACGAATTTTCCTACGACAACTAATTCTTGGAGATATTACAAAATGAAAAATTTGGTGAAAATTAATTTGTATGGAAAAAATTGATTATTTCGAAAACTATTAGGTTTTGAAAAAATTGACAAGAGAGCAAAATTGTTCAAAATACTTTTCACCATTGAACCATAGATTTTCCAATACAATCGGAAAAGCCACAAGGAAAATAGCACTTTTTATAACCTTAATTTTTAATTTTCTCGTAAACGGTAGGACTTACAAAAAATTTTATAATTATGTAATTTGTAGAGAATATCGTTTTCCATCGAATAGCAATTTACGAATTTTCCTACAACTAATTCTTGGAGATATTACAAAATGAAAAATTTGGTGAAAATTAATTTGTGTGGAAAAAATTGATTATTTCGAAAACTATTAGGTTTTGAAAAAATTTTATAATTATGTAATTTGTAGAGAATATCGTTCTCCATCGAATAGCAATTTACGAATTTTCCTACGACAACTAATTCTTGGAGATATTACAAAATGGAAAATTTGGTGAAAATTTATTTGTATGGAAAATTTTGATTATTTCGAAAACTATTAGGTTTTGAAAAAATTTACAAGAGAGCAAAATTGTTCAAAATACTTTTCACCATGCAAATCGGAAAAGCCACAAGGAAAATAGAACATCGTTTTCCATCGAATAGCAATTTACGAATTTTCCTACGACAACTAATTCTTGGCGATATTACAAAATGAAAAATTTGATGAAAATTTATTTGTATGGAAAAATTGATTATTTCGAAAACTATTAGGTTTTGAAAAAATTTTATAATTATGTAATTTGTAGAGAACATCGTTTTCCATCGAATAGCAATTTACGAATTTTCCTACGACAACTAATTCTTGGAGATATTACAAAATGAAAAATTTGGTGAAAAAATATTTGTGTGAAAAAAATTGATTATTTCGAAAACTATTAGGCTTTGAAAAAATTTACAGGAGGGCAAAATTGTTCAAAATACTTTTCACCATCGAACGAAAGATTATCCAATGCAAATCGGAAAAGCCACAAGGAAAATAGCACTTTTTATAATCTTAATTTTTAATTTTCTCGTAAACTGTAGGACTTACAAAAAATTTTATAATTATGTAATTTGTAGAGAATATCGTTTTCCATCGAATAGCAATTTACGAATTTTCCTACAACTAATTCTTGGAGATATTACAAAATGAAAAATTTGGTGAAAATTAATTTGTGTGGAAAAAATTGATTATTTCGAAAACTATTAGGTTTTGAAAAAATTTTATAATTCTGTAATTTCTAGAGAATATCGTTTTCCATCGAATAGCAATTTACGAATTTTCCTACGACAACTAATTCTTGGAGATATTACAAAATGAAAAATTTGGTGTAAATTAATTTGTATGGAAAAAATTGATTATTTCGAAAACTATTAGGTTTTGAAAAAATTGACAAGAGAGCAAAATTGTTCAAAATACTTTTCACCATTGAACCATAGATTTTCCAATACAATCAGAAAAGCCACAAGGAAAATAGCACCTTTTATAAC